GCATCAGCCTGCAGAGCAGGTCTGAAGAAGTCATTAGATTCCATGACATTTGTACTGATGCTGCCTCACCTACCGGCATCGCAAACTCCGGAGCTAGCCGTTTTCCAAACAAACGTTACGGGTAATGGTCTGGCTGGTGCGGCTCAGTGGTTAGAGGGCCGGCCCGTGCACCAAAGGGTTTTGGGTTCGATTCCTGGTCAAGGGCACGTACCTGGGTTGCAGGTTTGATCCCCGGCCCCGGTCGGGGTCATGCGGGAGGCCACCCGTCAATGTGTCTCTCTCATATGTGGAAAAATATCCTGGGGTGAGAATTAACAACAAAGATGGAGACCCCTGGAAACAAACAGCGTCACTGGCACGCGGGCACCGGGGGACCCGATGGTGCCACCCAGACAGGGACAAGCCATGTGACGAGGTTGGGGCTCCTCGTTAGCTCCGTCTACACGGGACTCCATGTCCAATGGCCACCCAGCTGGACAGTCCCTGGGGGGACTCCCCTCCAGCACCCACACCTTCACGGTCACCCACGGACAGGAGGGAGCCCCAAGAGACCATCTCAGCTCGGAGGACGACAGCCGTTGCAACGGGGGACCTTTCAGGACGAGGACGGCCCGGGGGCGGTTGCCTAGCGACGCAGACGGCTTCCCGCCCGGGGTAAACGTGATCTTTTCTTAGCAGCAGCCTTTTCTGCTCTGCACCAGCGAGGCGCTCATTACGATGTCCTGGTCAAGTTTTCAGGAGGAAGAGAGGGTTCCCGTGCGTGCAGGGGGTACCCGGGAGAGGGCGGGGACGGGGGTATCTCTCCCGCATCCAGAGGGGAGAGACACTGGGCTCCCCACGTTAGGAAATACCGGCAGACTTTCTCTTTTTTTTTTTTTATCCTCACCCGAGGACATTTTTCCATCTTTTGTTCAGGTAGAGTGGGAGGGAGAGAGAGGAACAGAGAGAGAGAAACATCGACGTGAAAGGGACACATCGAGTGGCTGCCACCCGCACAACCGACCAGGGCCGGGGACAAACTGCAACCGAGGCACGCGCCCTTAGCGGGAATCGAACCCGGGTCTCTCAGGACCGCAGGCCGACGCTCTAACCGCTGAGCCAAACCGGCCAGGGCCCCACAGACTTTCTAAATGTGCTCCATGGAATTAGAGTTATTTTCATTTTTAACTAATTAATTATTTATTATCATTACTTTTAACTCTCACCGAGGAGATGTTTACTGGTTTTAGAGAGGGAGGGACAGGGAGACACTGATTGGTTGCCTTCCACACGTGCCCTGACCGGGGATCGAACCCACAACCTTTCCGTGGATGGCAGGACACCCCAGCCCACTGAGCACCGGCCGGGGCAGAGGACTTTGGATTTTAATTTCCTGAAACCAACAGGCCGCATGCTCATGGGCAATGAGGCAAAGCGAGGAGGGGGCAGAAATGCCTCCAACGCCGGGAGCTCCCACGAGACTCAGCACGTACCTTCTCTTCACCACCTAAGTGGGACCGAAGCCCAGAGGTCTGAGCCCGTCCGCTGCGAAACAGCCAAAATGCCAGAGGAGAAAAAGGGAAGTCAGGGTTCGAGAGCCGGCGGCGAACACGCCTCCACCTGCTGCAGGGGGGGCCCGGGTGGATTCTCTCTCTTCAGCCGCGTCAGAGACAAGACCGACAGTCTTCACCTTGTTCAGCCCAGCTGTCGCTCACGTTGTGGACGGCCCCGGTCACACCCCGACGTGTTTTCGAGGTTTGCGGGTCAAGCAGGGGTGGACCGTGGATCGGAAGACGTCGTCCTCTGTTCGGCTCGCCCAGCACAAGCAGTGACGAAGCCTGGCGCCCACTCCTCCCCGCAGCTGCCTTCACCGTGGGCGTGACCTCTGTGCCAGCGGGGACTGCGCCCGGCCCCTCGCCTGCCCGCCTGTCAGTTCACACCTGCTGGCTCATGTTGACACACAGGAGCTTCCCGGAGCAAGGCCACCCTGGGGAGCCAGCTGGAGAGGGCGCTGTCCGGCCTTCTTCACTAACAGGCCGCCCGCAGGGCGTCTCGATGATGCAGGACGTCCCGCTGGTCCTCAGAGGCGAGTGTGGAGGTGACGTGGCAGCTCGTGGTCTCCACCGTGTTCTCTGTGCGACTGGCACTGACTCATGTTCCCGGAGACCCAAGAACGAGGCACCTGGAGAGGCTGGTCCAGGACGATCCTAGGAATCCGAAACGAGGAGGGACGTGGAGGCCAGAGTGGGAGCCACGTGGGACCCCACGGACTCAGGGCCCTCGGAAGACCACATGCTCGGCGACGGGGTTGGCTCGGGACACCGGGGGGCTTATCTGTCTCCGAATGGACTCCACGTGGGAAGGTGTTTGGGGCGGGGGCCTCATCTAGGACTGAGGCTCAAATTTACACCACAGGCGTGATCTGGGGGTCTCCGGGGAAGAACCGCATTTGTAACGATTGAAGATACTCACGTGGGATCAGAGGCAGGAGAGCCACACAGCAGGTGGATTGAAAAGAATAACTAGAAAGATTGCAAGTGAAAGACATGCCCCCTGCAGTGATCAATCGACGGGTGGACGGCACCCCAAGGCCATGGTCACTGTGGGGGTCAGGTCAGTCCCACTGCATGGACTCCCACAGTGTCGTGGCTCTTCAGTGGGATCCTGGGCCCACAGTGGCCACCCCCAGCCCCAGCGTCAGTGGTCCTCACACTTGCGACCCTGGTTCCACCACCACGTGCAAATGGACTGTGGTCTCAGAGCTTAAAAGATGCGTTGTTTTACGTGTGTGTAGAGGCTGAGAAGTTTTGTAAAAATGCTACACGGGGTTCAGGTTCTGCCACGTTTCCAGGCCTCTCAGATCCCGTGTGAGGGAAAACGCCCGCCGCAAAGACGACACGGGGTGGAGACGGCACCTGGACCGTCTGCAGAGTGGACAGAAGGACACACGTCAGGACTCCCCAGCGAGGACAGACCCTCGAGGCCCAGCCCTTGTGCAGGTCCACGTGGCTGCGTCCACAGAGCACACGCTCCCTCTTCATTGCCCACGGCCGGTGGATCGCATCTGCAAATCCCACTGAGCAGGGGCTCGGAAGAGACCCTCGAGGTTGCACTGCGCACACAGGGCGTCCAGGACATGGCCGAGTGCACACCTCAGGCCTGTGTCGCGGCCGGGGGTCGGAGGTGGTGGTGACCTCAGAAACATGTGCTCGGTGCTGGTGCCCAATTGCAGGGACATCTCCCATCAACGCCGTGGCCACGCGAGGCTCGGTCAGGGCCTGTGTTTGCACATTTCCCTGGAGCATCGACCACTGTGTTTGCTCCTAGGCCGTGGGTGCCAAACTGCGACTTTCTGTGGTGAGCACCACGTTTTCACGTCCCATCTGGACACGAGATGCCATCCCGCCGTCACTCACGTCTTAGGGTATAAAAACACTGGACACAACGGAGCTCTCTGCTCGAACCCCCCGGCCAGCGAGTCAGAGAAACACACTTGGCTCCGATGCAGAGTCTCATGAAAAATCTGACCTTTCGGTTGAGTTTGCTTTTCTAAAAGGGACAAATATTGTCCAAGACGATTCAGTGGATTCACCATCCAGCCACGCAGGGTGGGCCGCTGCGTCCCGGTGACCTCCCGTCCCGGGCGGCTCTGGGTGGGCGCGGAGCCAAGACGCTGTGTCCAGGGGAACTTCTCGGCCCGGCCTCACAGGTCCACCGCCAGCCAGCTGTGGTGCCGCCGTCTCCACGTCTGGGCCGAGCGAGTCTGGCTTCCTGCCCTGTGGCCTCGGGCACCCAGAGACGGATAGCACCCCGGGTGCACCACAGCCCCATCGGGGTCTTCGGGGTGTCTCAGGCTCCAGCTCCAGGCTCTGCAGCCAGATTTTCAGGTGAACATGGGGTTTGCTGGCTGCTACAGGCTGAATGTCTGTGTCCCCCCAAAGTCCTATGTTGAAGCCTAACCCCCAGTGAGGTGATGTCTGACGGTGAGGACTCAGGGGTTCGGTCCTGAGGGGGAGCCTCGTGACAGAATCAGTGCCCTGTGAGAGGGACCCAGAGACCCCCCAACCCTCCACCACGGGAGGCCAGACTCAGGAGGTGCCCTGGCCGGACCCTGGCTCTGCCGGCACCCCGACCCCGGATGTCCAGCCTCCGGAGCTGGGAGACAGACGTCTGTGGTCTTTTTGCAGCAGCCGAACCAAGCGAGCCCCTGGCTGTCTGCGGCTTCATTCCACCGCCTGTGTTATGAAGTACACGGGGCAGGAAAGTTTCCAGAGGGTAAACGCTGGACGGTAACGGACACCTGCAGCCCACCTCACACCGAGTCTGGGGAAATGAACTGTCCGGCGGAAACCCCCCCGGCCCAGAGGGCTGGTGACGTGTGTCCCGGCTTTTCACGCACCGAGCAGGAGGGAGCCTCAGCCTGAGACCCAGACAGCGGGGCCGAGGGCCGGGAGGCGGCGGCAGGGAGGAGGGCTGGGGTCCGAACACCTCTTAATAAACCTCAGCAATTACGCAGCCACAGCACACACGGCCCCCAGGAGGACGTGCGGGGAGGACCGGACGGGACGGGACGGGGGCAGGTCCACCCTGCTGAGCGGCCAGCTGGTGCGTCCTCCCCGCTGGACTCCTGCGCCGGCCCCCGGCCTTCTCCGGGGCCAGGTCTGCGACCTCCCCTGCTCCCGGGGCTTTTACTCACAAGCAGCCCCGAGAAACTTGTTTGCGCAGACGATGCTGAGCCGACTGGGGGAGGGGCGCGCGGCCTGTCCGTCGGAGGGTCAGGAGAGCCGCGCACACTGTAGGTGCTGGTCCACATCCTGCCCTGAGCACGGAGGACCGGGCAGAACCTCCCCGACCGGGGCAGAGCAGGGGGCCCGGGGTTCACACCAGCCGCTCACCCCGCCCAGCAGAGGCGTCTGGCGTCTGGCGTCTGGCTCACAGCCCGCCCCTCACGGCCACGGTCGCTGAGGTTACGGCTGCACAGCTGCGTGTGGGGCAGGGGCCGGCGGCTGGGGCGGCCTTACCAGGACCATGTGGCCGGTGGAGATGTCCATGTTGGGCAGCGCCGGCTCCTCGGACCAGGACGAGGTGCTGCTCCGTGCAGAAGGGCTCGGCATCGGCCCGTCGCTGAACTGTGAGGACACGCTGTTGACGCGGGACACGTGCGGGGCCTCCGGGCGGTCAGACGTGCGCACGGCCATGCGCTGGCGGCACAGTTCCTGCGGACACGGGAGACACGGGGTCAGTGCCCACCGGGGCCGCAGCCGGCACCTCCTCACCACCTGTCCTCAGAGCCATGGCTCGGGCGGGACATTCACCCTGTGACCTGACACCCCCCCCCCCACACCCCACAGACACACCCCGCCAACATACACACACCCCACAGACACATACAGACCAGGAGAAGGGGTCCCGGCCTGACTCTGTGGTCACACCCGAATACCCTCACAACTGTGCGTCCTGCAGACCGAGTTCAGGGCCTCCTTTCTCGTTAGAACACGGGCCGTGGGGTGGGGTTGGGGTTTTACACTGTGCACCGAAACACGGAGACGGGCACCACAGTCGAGTGTTCTGGGAACAAACCCTCTTTTTGATTCTTCCCTTTTCCCCTAAACAACAAACTGAGAACAGCCCGCACCAGAGTGATGGGAGCATGTGAGGGGAGGAAAGTCCATGGCTGACGGAAAGGTTTGCTTTTCCGATTCGAGGACCAGAAACATTTCCAGGTTTAAGGAGAAACCTCAGGGTGATGGCCTGATGAAGCGTCAGGTGACATGCTGAGGCCGGGAGGGCGTGGCAGGGAGGACGTGTCAGAGGAGCACGTGGTGGGGAGAACATGGCCCCGCACAGCACCAGCCTACAGTGCGCAGAGCCGAGGGCCACCTGCACCGACGGTCCCCTCGAGGTTTAGCTGATGCTGCCCAGCTCGTGTCCATAACAACAGCTCTCCGCAGTGTTCGAACAGCCGGTACGAATCCCGTTGGCCCAGGGAACACATCACAGCAACAAGGCCGTTCAAATAAAACTGCCGAGGAAAAGGTGACATGGGAACCGAAGCTCGAGAGGAGGGGGACACGGGAGAGGGAAGCGTCTGAGAGCCGCCCAGGGACGGCCACACCCTGCTGGGGGACCTGCGGGAGGTCTGTCAGCCAGCAGGGTGGCGGCTGAGGACCACGGACAGACCACGGACAGACGGTTTCCTCTCCCAGCTCCCACTTCCCTGGTGTTAAAGACCTCATGACGCCAGCTGATGCCACACAGAAAACATTCGACCGCTCGGTTCTCCTGGGACTCCTGGTGTGACCCCGAGCGTCCTTCTCCAGGGCCCGGTGGCCAGCCCTGCTCCTCTGGTGCTTCTAGCAGGAGCCTGTCTGGGGCCACCTCCTGTACTGACCCTCAGTGGGGGTCACCGGAGGTGTCCAGGGACACAGGTCGAATGGGTGACCTCAGCAGAGTGTCTCAGACAAAAGGGAAAACAGAGAAGAAGAAAGCACCCCTGTATCCCTCCCGCCTCCCAGCCCACCGCCCGCAGGGCTCGGGGCTCACAGATGGTCCGTCCACAAGGAGTCTGCACACAAGTTCACCCCAGGTGTCTTAGGACCTTAAAGACAAAGCAGGTCCAGACACCGTGGGTCCTTCTCATGAGGTGAGTGACCCCAGTCACCGCGCACGTTTCGCATCCATCTCCCCTTCACGACACGGACTGCGGCCCGGTGTTGGAAAAGGCACCCCAAAACACGTTTCTGCAGCTTCATACCGTTGGCCTAGGCGAAAACCATGGCCGCCCGGGGTGGACACACCCTGCTCGGGCCGAGGGCTCAGACCTGCGCCCCAGGCCTGGGGAGATCGCGGAGACGCCAGAGGCTCAGTGGTCACCTGAAACCCCCGGCGGTCCTGTCAGGGATGCAAGACAAGGGGGCGCGAGCTCCTGTCTCCCTGTGACCCCGGGGGCGCCCGGGCCTGTGCGCGGACCGTCCACGGAACGTGGCCAACTCGAGGTGAGCCGCGGGAAGATGGAGGGAGTCCGTGTGGGAAGGGCTCGGCCACAAAGTCCACAAAACCTCCCAGGCCTCCCGCAGGCGGCAGCTTCAGCCCCGGGACCCCACTCCCACCCGACGCCTCACAGAGAAGCTGGACGCGTCCGATGGACGGACGGAACCAGGTGCGCCGAGCTTCTCGGGATCCGCCCGCGAGGGTGTCTGGGCATCTGCGACGGGGACCAGACGGGAGTCTGTCCTCAGACACGCACCACGAGGCCCTCGCCCCGTGTCTGGATAGACCCCTGGGCCTGGGACACACGTGCTTCTCGGGGACCGAGCTGAGAGCCGTCAGCACCTAACCCGGGTCTTCCGCTGGCTCTCAGGGAGCTCGGCGCCCACCCGCAGCCCCGGACACGCAGCCCGTCTGGGCTCCTGGCTGTGAGCTTGGGCAAACCTCCCGCCCTCTCTGTGCAGCAGGTTCCTCGTCGGTGAAACGGTGACACCGGTCCTGACGGCACAGTTCTTGGGAGGGCCGGACACTGTGGTCTGCACCCTGGACGGCCGGATACTGTGGTCGGCACCCTGTGCGCCCGCTGCTGCTCGGCTGGGGCTCGGGGCCGAGTTCCCCGGGGCCACGGAGAGCAAGGTGCTGCCAGGTGACTTAGGGCGCCCACAGGCCGGGCTCTGAGCGCACCTGGGCGGGAACACACGGCGGCCCTGCTCCCTCTGCCGTCCCTGTGAGCCGGCTCCCCGGGCCTCGCGTCCTCCCCTGGGGCGGGGGATGGACAACGCCCGCCCGGCTCAGGTGCGGCCCGAGCATCACACAGACTCTGGGCCCAGTGGGGCCCACTCCCCGTGCTGGCTTCACAGTGATGGGCTGGAGGCGGCTGTGCCCAGGCCGGGCTGGAGCGGCGGCCCCACCTGGGGTGGCCCAGGACGAGAGGACAGAACTCGGATCCCGTGACATCGGAAGCCCCGCTGTGCGGAATGGCGTCGGTGATGGGACGTGGAACTTCCGTGTGTCTTTCCACCCGGCTCATTCTGTCAGCCGCAGACAGAGGCCCTCCACGCGGTTGTGCGGCCGCCGTGCCGGGGACCTGCCACGCTCCCTCATTGGGAAACTTCTCCTTCCCTTCCCCGGACCGTCAGGGCACCTCCGGGTCCCCAGGGGCGCAGGCAGGAGGCAGACAGCCGCACCCCGCGCTCTGCAGACATCTCCCCGTGGCGTCGCTCTGCAGCCTCCCGGCCGGTCCTCGGGCAGCTCTGGTTTGTGGGCTGGTAGCAGGAGGCCCGTGTTTTGCTCGCTCCCTGTACTGTTACTTGAAAGTTACGGCATCGAAGGGAAAGCCAACTTGTCTTCCAGACCGAGGGCACATGCAGGGCAGGACCGACGGTCGGCTGGTGCAGGAGACGGACGCACTGTGGGCTGAGATCCTGGGTTTAGTTCCGTGAAGACATTTCGTTCTGCCTTGTGCACCTCTGATCTCTGGCCGCAGACCGGAGGGAGCTTGTGCGACGGGCCCGCGCCCCGAGACGGGCCGCCGTCATTTCAAAGGGCCAACGCAGCCCCCAGGTGACCGTGCAGGCCGACCCCGCCCACCCCGCCGACCCCGAGCCACCAATGAGCGAGCGGCGGGCGCTCACTGAAGGTGGAAGTAAAGGTCACTACTCGGCCCGTCACCTGGGGGCTGACGGCGAGGAGACGACATGTCCCGCTTCCCGCACCCGGCGTCCGTCATCTGACGGACGTGAGGGCCCAGTGCTGCGCCGCTCGGGACAGGAAGCACACGGGGACATGCAGGGTCATTGCCAAGGCTTGGGGCCTGGGCATGAATCCTGTCGGGCGAGCAAAGGGACAGGGCGCCGGTCCCCGCGGGAGAGCGTCCCGCTGGTGGAAACTGCAGAGTAAGCTGCAGGCCAGAAACGCGGAGACGGGCCGACTGCGTCCAGATTTTCCCGGTTACCATCCTGGCCGCGGGAAGGGTGGAAACACCAGGGTCCTGGGTTCCGGTGCCGGAGACCCGAGAAGGAAACCGCAGGCCCAACTACGGCGCCATCGGACAAGGTGAGCTCAGCGCCCTGACGGCACCGCCCGCCAACAACTGACGCTTCCTCGGCCTCGAACCCTCACCACGGCCTGTCCGGCACGGGGGTGTCTCTGGCCGCTGTGCCCCACCCGCCGGACAGGGGGGTGCAGGGCCTTCCAGACCCTCTGTCTTGTGTGTGGGGTCCAGACGCACGGCGTGAAGTCGGGGCCACATGGGAGCTGAGGCAGGTCCGCGGAGATGAGATGGTGCCGAGCCTGCAGCACGGGGACCTCGAGGTCACACAGACGATGACGACATTCGTGGTACCACGCGTAGGACCCGACGCCGAGAGGGAGTCATTATGAAGCAAGAAGTGGGGATTCGGCCAAGTGACTCCGGTGACAGAGCCACATGGGGGGCCCCAGCCAGCCTGAGCCCTCCGGTGCCTGTGCCGGGCCGTCCTCGGTGCCCCGCGGACCAGACCGCCCCGGGCTGAGGGGTCCGGGCCTGGCCGAGCTGCCCTGGTCCCGAATCACTGCCACCAGCAGGCCGACCGGGTTCGTTTCCTTCTCCCGCCCAAGGCCGCTCCCCAGGGGAAGGAACAGGCCAGCGTGTGTGGATTAGAACACCTCCCCCAGGGCCAAGGGCAGAGCACCGATCTCCGGCCCACGGGGCTGCGTCCACCGCGGCCCTTCTGACGAGGCGGCCCCTCCCTGCACCCACTCTGTCCCTTTCAGGTGCTCGGAAGGTCAGGGTGGACACACGCACCCCAGACCAGGCGCCCGCCGGGAAGGACACGGGCCCCTGGAGCAGCCTCAGCGGCGGGACCCCTCCCGGAGGCAAGTGCTTGGAGCAGCAGCGTCTCCAGAAATGGAAACCCACCGTCCGTGGGGGAGGAAACCAGACAGACCCAGGCCCCCGCTGCCACCCCGCGCCGTGGCTTTGACTCAGTTTCGTGGTCTGTGGAGTGGGAACCGTGTACCTCGACAGCATGGAGGTGGGGTGTTGGGAGAGGGGGTGCGTGGGAAGAGCTGGGCACAGGGATGGGCACTGTGAGCCGGTCCTGGTGCCGGACCGAGGCCTCTGGTGTCTCCTTGTCTGCAGACGGGAGCGACCTGGAGAAGTGGGGACCCCAGGTGAGGTCCCGCCCTGCACACAGGCTCCGAGGCCCGGCTGATGCTCCTGGATCACCGACCTGCCCCCCAGCAGGGG